AGAAAAAAAATATGCAAATCTTTACCGGACCATGCGTCGGAATCTATAACAAATGATGGTGGCCGCCTGCCGTTAACGAAGGTTGGAAGGTATTAGGAGGGACAGCAACAGTCGAAAAGCCAAAGCCCATGCATTGAAATGGTGGAAGGCTACGGCAAAATTACTCTTGCAGAAGGTATGGTACTGAGTCAACTCAACAATGAAAAGGAACTGAGTTTAGATGGCTTTTTTCAACTCGACACTATTCACCATGATGCAACAAACAAGATGACCTCAATATGCCAGAAAATGGCAAACGACAGACAGAAAATGACCTTGTCATCTCAATGGCTACATGCACACATGAAAGGATGGACAATAATGAACTTAGCCCCATAATGCATGGGCAAGGGTACTGTGGTTTTAACAAAACAAATAGTTCCATCCCTTCCTTTGCATCTGCTCCCTATGCGGGAAGTACAGGGCAACCGATGAGGGACCAACAAGGAAAAGACCACAAGCAACAAGGAAGTATAAGCCGGGGAAAGGCAGAACAAATGCAGGATGATGATAGCAACAGTGCACCCCTAGATATGGAACCACAACTAGCATCGGATAGCCAACCCATTGAATATCACCCTACGACTTCCAGAAGAAGGAAATGAGATTGTGAAGTGTCATATAACCCATCAGAAGATGTTTCCTCAGAGAATGAATCTCATTCGATAACGGATAGAACTTGTGAAGATTATGTCTCCATGCAATTCACTACAAAAACAAATCCATGATCAATGCTATGATTTGGAATGTGAGGGGAGTTGCTGGTAAAGTCATCCAAAGAAGAACAAATTACAATTGATGCACCAGATTAAAATATTGGTTATCCTAGAACCACTGGTGCACGGTTCTCAGTTGGAGTTTTTTTAAAGGAAGCTTGGTTTTAAAGGTGCAACTTGTAATTGCTCTCAAAAAATTTGGCACTTCTATACACATGAGGTTTCATGTTCAGTCAAGTTTAATCATCCTCAATGCATGCATGCCCAAATTTCTCACCTTTGGCTATCATTTTCTTTTCAAACTTCCTTTATTTATGCTAAGTGTACTAGGCTTGAAAGGGAAGACTTATGGGATTTTCTGAGGAATATAGCTGCAAGAACACAAGAACCATGGTTGGTAGAAGGCGATTTCAATGTTATTCTAGACAGGGATGAAAGCCTTTTTGCAGCAGAACCTCATGTTGGCTCTATAGAGGATTTTGCCCTTACTCTTCTTGACTGTGAACTGATAGATGCAGGGTTTGAAGGGGATAAGTACACCTGGACCAACTCTCATATGTTCCAAAGGCTTGATCGGGTTGTATATAACATACAGTGGGGAACCATTTTTCTATTACTAGAATTCAACATCTAAACAGAGATGAATCAGATCATTACCCTTTATCAGTTTTTTGTTCAAATTCTTATCTCCAAAAGCCTTCATCCTTTTGTTTTCTTCATGCCTGGGTGACGCATCATGATTTTCTTGACTTTGTAGAAAGGAACTGGAGAGAGCCAGTGCAGGGAATAGGGTCATTGGCATTTTGGCTAAAACAGCTACGCCTCAAAAAGAGCTTGAAATGGTGGAATAAGCATGTGTTTGGCGATAATTTTTTTCAACCTCAAGGCAGCAGAAAAACATGCAGAGGAGAGTGACCAATTATTTCAACAAGATCAGTCACCTGCAAATCGGCAACAGCTTCAGCTTTCTTATGCTAAGCTTAATCATCAGCTCAGTATAGAAGAAATGTATTGGCAACCAAAATCAGGAGTTCAATGGTTGACAGAGGGAGAAAGGAATACAAAGTTTTTTCACATGAGAGTGCAAAAGAAACGTGTGAAAACCTCTATTTTCAGAATAAAGGATAGTGAAAGGAATATTATTGAGGAGCCGACACAGATTGAGTCTTCAGCAGTAGACTACTTTGCTAAACTCTTGAAGGCTGAAGATACAGACCTTACTAGGTTTAATGCTAATTTAATTCCTCATTTGATTTCTGAACATGACAATCATGTCTTGTGTGCAGAACCCATAATGGCAGAAGAGAAGGCAGCAGTTTTTGACATTGATAAGGATAGTGTAGCAGGGCCAGATGGTTTCTCATCCTTTTCTTATCAACACTGTTGGCACATAATTGCAGATGATTTCTTTACAGCAGTTAGGGATTTCTTCAATGGTGCTAGGCTTTCAAGGGGGTAACTTCTACAACTCTAGTTCTTTTATCTAAGAAGCCGGGTGCAAATTCTTGGGGTGTTTTTCACCCAATCAGTTTATGTGCGATTTAGAATAAAATAATTACTAAACTGTTGGCGAACCGGTTAGCTAAAGTTTTACCTTCCTTAATTTCGGATAACCAAAGTGGCTTTGTGAGTGGTAGATTGATTAGTGATAATATTCTATTAGCTCAAGAATTAGTTGGCAAACTTGATTACAAAGCTAGAGTTGGTAATGTGATTTTGAAGCATGATATGATGAAGGCTTATGATAGATTGAATTGGGATTTTCTGTACCTTATTTTGGAGGCATTTGGTTTCAACTCTCATTGGATTGATATGATTCAGAGATGCATTTCTAATTGTTGATTTCTTTATTGATTAATGGACACTCAGTTGTCTACTTCAAATTGGAGAAAGGGTTAAGATAAGGTGATTCCATCTCGCCCCTTTTATTTATTTTGGCAGCTGAGTATTTATCTGGAGGCCTTAATTATCTATTTTGTTAATATGGTTCATTACATTTCTATTCCAGTTGTTCCATGAATATTAGTCACTTAGCCTTCACAGTTGATATTATGATCTTTACTAATGGGAGCAAGTCAACCTTGGAGAAAATTCTTGAATTTTTACAAGATTATGAGTAGATTTCGGGACAAAACATTAATCATCAGAAGAGTTGCTTTGTCATAGCTCGCAATATGGCTAGTTCAAGAAGGCACATTATCTCTTAGACCATGGGATTCCTTCACAAGACCCTGCCAATTATCTATTTGGGTGCACCACTCTATAAAGACCCTATAAAGGTTATGTTATTTGATTCACTCATCTCCAAAATCTGAGAACGCATCTCCGGTTGGGAAATAAAATTCTCTCTCTTGGAGGTCGTATCACTTTATTACGAAGTGTACTCTCTGCTTTGCCAATATATCTTTTGCAGGTGCTTAACCCCCTGGTGAGTGTTGTTGAGAAAATAGACACTTTTTAATGGTTTACTATGGGAAGGTTCCTCGAACAGCAAAAAGATTCATTGGTCACTTTGGGCAAAACTGACCTTTCTAGGTTCCGAAGGTGGATTAGACATTCGTAGCCTGAATAATTTTTTGAGGCTTGCACTGCAAAGCTTTGGTGGCGATTTCAAACTTGCAACAGCTTGTGGACACAATATATGAAAGCTAAATATTGTACTAGCCAAATTCCTGACACAATCCATATTAAAACACATGACTCATCCACATGGAAGCGAATGATTGCTGGTAGAGACAAAACTAGGCAGCAGATGAGATGGAGAATTGGTAAGGGAGATTTTTTTTCTGGCATGATGCTTGGATGGGTGATAAGCCACTCGTAAACTCTTTCCCTACACTTTTTCATTCCATGATTAATGTTAATTATTTTTTTCATGAAAAGGAGTGGGATGTAGATAAGCTTAGAGCTATTTTACCAAACATAATTGTCAATGAGATTTCGAAGATTCCTATTAGCTGTAACCAGGAGGATTTGGCATACTAGGCCCTTACACCAAATGGAGAATTCACTACCAAGAGTGCATGGGAGCTACTTCACCAAAGACAACCTATACATCCATTAGGTAAGTTTATTTGGCACACGAGCATCCCACTTAATATTTCTTTTTTCTTATGGCGCCTAGTGCATAATTGGATTCCTGTGGAGTTACGAATGAAATCAAAAGGCTTCCAGTTAGCATCGAAGTTCTTATGTTGCCGATCAAAGGAAATGGTATTGCATGTCCTATGGGAGGGTCCGGTTGCACAACAAGTTTGAAATTATTTTGCAAAATTCTTTCAAATCTATGTTAGCAATCCTCGCAATATTATGCATATCTTCCACTCTTAGTATTACTCTGGAGATTACACTAAACTTGGTCATATTAAAGTATTACTGCCTTTGTTGATTTTTTGGTTTCTTTAGGTGGAAGAAAATGATGCAAAACATAAGAGGACTCGGAATGTATCCTTATAGAGTTATCTAGCGAGTTATAAAAATGTTACGATAGCTTTTTTAGGGTAATTTATTACGACCATGGCAATGGAGAGGGGATCTAAATATTGCTACACACTGGGGTTTCCGATTTGAATGGACGAGCCATGATCCACCAAAAATTATTTACTGGTCTCGACCATTGAGAGGTGAGTTAAAGTTAAATGTAGATGGTAGCTCCAAACATGCCTTTCAGAATGCTACCGATGGAGGAATTCTTCAAGACCAAACAGGTACTAGGAATTTTGGCTTTTCAGAAAATTTTGATCCTTATAATTCATTGTACCTTTATAATTCAAAAAATCTTGGAAGTACGATTTAAATCTTTTTTTATTATATCTTTATTTTTATTAATTAATAAAATTTAACAAGGTAACTGAGCTCTACAGGAATTTTCAGCATAAAAAAAAAGTCCCATCTTCAACCTTAATCAAAGGCGAAATCCAAAAAATAATAATAATAATAATAATAACACATTAGTAATTGATTCCATGATTTGAAAGAGTGTCCTAGAGATAGTAATAGCGGGTGATCTCAATTTGGAATTCAATTATATTTCTTAGATTAAAATTTCATAAAAATGATAGATTTTATTAATCAATCAATTACGCCTCCTTTTCTAACTCGAAAATCGTCTGTACGTTGCCACGATCATTGCTTATAAATAAACACTAAACAAGAAAATTGAACACCAAATTAAGAATGTTATAAAAAAAAAAGAGTCAAATTACTCGAAAATATAAATTGATCACCACAGTCTGCAAACACAAGGACCCAATATTGAAAAAACTTCCAAAGGTTAATTTCTTTTACATGTCAAGCAAAATTCAGAACCAAACCAATCAATACCGAAAATCTAAAAAGGGTTGCCTGTTTTTTCCTTACTTTGGTCTTCTTCTTCTTCTGTTGTTTGGGGCGGGGTGGTGGCTAATCGTCAAGCATCTTTCGAAGTCGGTCTTTAACGTATTGGCTACGGTCTTTGGCGCGTTCTTGTTGAGGAGCTATGTTGACAACGGAGAGGTAAGCTCCGACGGCCATGAGGGAAGTCCCGGTGAGGCAAAACCCGATTGTTACTGCCAGTTGCTTTACCGTTGGTGGGTAGGACCACAGCACCATTTTTGGGTTTCTTGGGTCTTGTTTTACTCTTTTCACTTGGGTTTGGTTCTGCTTCGATGGGTAACCGTGTAAAATTATAAATGGTGAAGATTCTGTAGCTTGGAGTGGGCCTAGCTCTTGTCAAACCGGAGAATTAGTATCTGTCTGTCTGTGTGCGGGGAGGGAGGTCATCCTCAATTAGTTTTCGGAATTTGTTATTCTTCGTTTTCTTTTTTCTTTTGTGTTCTGCTAACAACCCTTGTACCAAAAAAAAAAATTGAATTGCTAGAAGCCCAGAATCCCTTTCTATTTGAAATATATGTATATATATATATATATAAAATCTTAATTGTACGGGTGATTCATGCGTCATTTCTAGTCAACCCTTTTATCACTCGCAAAAACTACAGAAGTTGTTACTTAGTTTTTAAACCTTTCATCTCAATTAGCACATGTATCAGTTCATTTAGAGGAGACTATCGTTACTTTCGCTAACTAATTTGTTAGGATTTCCTCGAACAAAAAGTATCAAGACCATATAGTAACTATTAGAAAGATAAATAGATAACTCGCCCTTTTCCTTGAATCTGCATCACAATGCTAACCATAATGCTTCTTATTATGTATTGCAATGTTCACATTGTTGTCAGAGCTCTCAATTAGTTGCAACATGGCTATCCAGATATGATACTGCCACGGCAGCATTGAGAGCCGCTCCAATAGGAAGAGCCTCTTCATCAATAAAAAAGTAAGGTGAGTGCAATGGCTGATCTGATTTCAGGGTCTCATTCTTTATCCCAATCACATAAATTGCAGCTGCAGTCTTCTGTGCAAAGAAACTGAAGTCTTCTGCTGCCATGGATATGGGGAGGAGATGAACGTTGTTTTCTCCAACAAGAGTCTTGCCCACCTTTTTCGCATGTTCGAACAATGTTTCGTCATTGACCATTACTGGATGAGGCATAGGTTTGTCTTCCATAAAGTCCACCGTACCACCGCACTGATGCACAGCTGCTTGCATTTCTATGACCTGTGAGAGGAGCATAGTCTTGCTTAAAAAATTGTCGTACTTGACATTGGGTAGTGCTAGAAAATTTGGAGTTCAGAAGATGAGAAGTTTGCATGCCTTACCTCCTTTATCCTTTTTTGGAGGTAGGAAAGACCTTCAGTGGACAAGCTCCTATATGTTCCAGTGAATCTCACAGATTCGGGGATTACATTGCCAGCTCGACCTCCCTCTATTGAACCAACTGTTACCACCTACATCATTCAAAATGAAATTTGGACTTTTGGGTCTTAATTGTTGCTAGAAGGTTTACTATGCTGATCAGGAACTAGGCGGTACGGGCTGATGCAGTCAGCGGATTGGTCTAGGATGTGAATCCTAAATTGATTTTGGATCAAATCAATTTTCTACTGCTATGGCAATTTCCAGATTTTTGGTAAATCTCCTTACAGATGGGTGGAATTCGACACTGCAAAATGTGCTAGCTTTCAGGCCTGGTCAATTCAATTTCCAATCCAAAGATCCAGCAATAGCATTTGTTCAACATTTAGTATTCTAGGTGATATATAACTCTCCATTGCTGCATACTGATGTTGACTAAATCAATCATGGCATGGCAAACTGATACTTTCGTGAGCAAAGCCTACAAGATTACCATCTTGAAAATATTTTTAACATGGAGGATAGAAAATTACCATGCCCTTGAGGGGATCTGTCTCTCTAGAGACAATCTGTTGGAGAGCAATGACAGCAGAACAAGCTGCAACAATTGGGTCCTTACTCAAATGGGGGCTTGATGCATGTGCTCCTTTTCCCTGAATCGTAGCTGAAAACTGCCCAACACCGGCAAGCATTGGACCAGGCCTTGAAGCAATAGCACCGGTGGGCACTGATGGCAAAACATGTATACTGAGGATCGCGTTAATATCATCTAGGACTTCATCTTGCAACATATGGTAAGCACCTGAATAACCCTCTTCACCAGGTTGAAAAACTAGCTTCACCGTTCCCTTCAAGAAAATGTTGTAGCAATACAAAATTAGCCCAACAAGAGGGAAAAAGGATGCTGATATTTTGCAGGTAATTGGAAAGAGTATAAATATACCTTCAATAAATCTCTTCTGCTCTGAAGTAACTTGGCTGCTCCAAGTAGCATTGCTACATGGGAATCATGACCACAGGCGTGCATCTTCCCATCAACTTTGCTCTTGTGCTTCCACTCCACTAATTCCTTCAAAATTGTAAGGTCGATTACAAGGTATTAGACATTTGTCATATACAGCACACTAAGTAAAGAAAATAACAAGGCTCCAGGGAATCATCCAATAGCCTCAAAAAAGAAATTATATTATAAATTGCAGCAATCTATGAGGGAGTTGACGACAACAGCCTAAAAACTGCAATGGGCAGTACTCTTTTATGGTGCCATTAACATAGACCTTAGCAAATGGTCAATGAGACAAACCCCCAAGAGAGAGAAAGAGAGATGACCTGCAAAGGAAGGGCATCCATGTCTGCTCTGAGGGCGAAAACTGGATTTGCACCAGACCCAATAGAACCAACCACGCCAGTCTTAGCAACAGGCCATTTGTAGCTGATCCCAAGTGAGTCTAACTCATTCCTGATTAGTTCATTGGTCTTGTGCTCTTCAAATCCCAGCTCTGGGTGCTCGTGAATTCTCCTCCTAATCCCTCTCATCCATTCAAAAAACTCAGGCTGTCTTGCAGATTCCAACAATTCTTGACTAAGCACTTCAAGTTCTGATCCAGGACGAGTTTCCAAGGCCATAGCTTGGCATATAATTGTTGAAACCACGAAGCACGAGAGAAACTCCATTAGAATCATGGTTTGCAAAGCCAAAGAACAGTGCTATTTTGATTCACCAGAAATTTTATACTAATTAACGAGAAAGTTTGCTTGTAGGTCCTAGTCATAGACTTGGAGTGTTGTGTATATTGAAGGGAATTCTGAAGAGTAGTTTTTGGTCGTTCTCTCCTCCTGACTGATACGTGCTGCCAACCCTTTGCTTTGACTGACAGTTTCAAACTCAGTGCAACTTTTTCACTACTGTAATTAATTTTTGTGCCTGCGGCCTGAAAAATTTGGCAAAACTACCCATTTCGAGCTCAACTGGCTTAGCGACGCTGAATCATAATTTTTACTTGTTGGAATAACAACCGTCATCCAAGTAAATTCCACAAATGCCCTCACATTTTCCTATGTAGCAATAAAATTTCAATGGGACTTCCACAAGGCTTTCTTCAATATGTTAGAAAAAAATATAAAAAAAATTGTAAAAAATAACTCTTATGATAAAGTGATTTCAAAAATAGTCATCCATACAAAGTTATCTGTTTTTATCAAAAAACAAACATGAATAGACCAAAATGTCCTTAAAAATATCTTGATAAATTAATTAATCTTTTTATATCTCGCTCTTACTATAGAGAAAATAAATGCTCGACTATTTCAACTCTCTCAGCTCTCTAAACTATATTGGCTCCATCAATTCTCTGTTGAGCACCATCGTTATCGAGTTGTGGTCTATCTCTCGGCATCTGGTTATATCGTTATAAATAAATAAACCCTAAAGTAGAGATAACATTAAAGTATGCTATTAAGTTTATTGTTATAGCACATTAATTTTTGAAACTTTTTGTGTAAATTAGAATATTGCCTGAGTTGCTACACGGTATGCTTGTAAAAATTATATTAAAAGAAAAAAAATTACAAGTTTTAGGATAGGGCTTGTAGTAAAATTTGTCTATATAGTAGGTGTAGCAAAATCATTAGAACATTGCCTAAAGTTGTTACTCACCATGTATCTCTAATGCACATGGCGTGTAAAAAATATATTGAAATAAGTTGTATTAGCACATGATGTGTAACATTGTTTGAACATGGCATGTAACAACATAATTGACAAATTTTAGAACACGGCATATAACATGTAAAATGACTTGACAAATTTTCTGTTTTCAAAATTTCAATGGCATTTCAATTTTGTGACTTGAGATAAAACATAGTAGTCAGTGGGTGGATGGCATTTATAAGAGTAGTGAGTCACGAATGCGAGGGTTAAGAGTGATTTGTCATTTGCGAGATTAATGAAGCAAGTTGAAGATGTTGTTAGGGTAAATTCATAAATTCATGAGATTAAGTTACATGCATTGATCAGTACACCCGGAGAGCTATCATGCCTAATTATCAAGGACAATCAGGATGTTGCATTAATTCTATTAAAACAAAGAAATGTTCCAGCAATGTACGTCACCATTAAAGAACACCATGCAAATATTATGTCACATGACAAAGCTGTACAACATGGTAATCACCTCAATCAAAATGAGATTTACGGTGTTTTACATGTACTACAACATTCGATCCCTAACCCTCAACAATGGCAATTGACGTATGCGCAAGAGTTTGTTCAACCCAATAAACACATGACATTCACTGAACAGTTGACTGTACAATTTCGATCAGCATGTGCATCGAATCAATTACTTGCTTCTGTCCAACAAATGCAACGATCAAGTGAAACTGTAGAGGGTGTAATGCCATTTCAAATAAGACTATGACACTTAAGGACAACACTAAGATGTTGAAGGATGACACTATGATGCTGGACGATAATACTGCATCTGATGAGAGAAATAAGGATCGGTTCCCTACCGGTGAAGATAGATTAAATGATGGGCCTGATGAATAGCATAATAACATTTTAGATGATGACTGGTTTTATAGAGCGACATGTTGCACTCCAATTGTTAGATGCCATTGACTTCTTGTGGTGACATGTTGAGTGGTTGAAATATTATAGGGTGACACGCCACACTCCAATTATTAGATATCGTCAATATATTGTGGTGACACGCTAAGTCGTTGTCATATTATGAGGTGACACGCCATGCTCCAATTATTAGATGATGTTGACATCTTGTGGTGACACATTGAGTGGTTGCAATATTATAGGGTGACACACCACGCTATAATTGTCAAATGTCATTGACATCTTGTGGTGACACGTTGAGTCATTGCAGTATGATGGGGTGACATGCCATGCTCCAATTGTTAGATGTTGTTGACATCTTGTGGTGACATGCTAAGTCGTTGCAATATGATGAGGTGACATGCCACGCTCCAAATGTTAGATGTTGTTGACATTTTTTGGTGACACATTAAATAGTTGCAATATTATAGGGTGACACGCCACGCTCCAATTGTTAGATGTTGACATCTTGTGGTAACACGTTGAGTCGTTGCAATATTGTGGGGTGGCATGCCATGCTTCAATTGTTAGATGTCGTTGACATCTTATGGTGACACGTTGAGTGGTTGCAGTACTATGGAGTGACATGACATGCTACAATTGTTAAATGTTGTTGACATCTTGTGATGACACGCTGAGTGGTTGCAGTATTATGAGGTGACAAGCCACACTCCAATTGTTAGATATCATTGACATCTTACGGTGACACGTTGAGTCATTGCAGTATTATGGTGACACGCCATGCTTGTTAGATGTCATTTAGAGCTTGTTGTAACATGCCATTAGTAAAAAGCCCATAGGTTGAAGGTAAAACAACTAATTAATTTAATTTACAACAACTTCTAATTATTATAGGCATTGTGTCTGAATTGAAAAATTATTGTATCAAATGTAAAAACATTAAAATTAATTATATCTAAAAAAAATCTACATACAACTCTCAATATGTTCATGCTACAGGGTTTAAGGCTCGCTCTCACAACTGTTGCTAAAAATTTCTAGAGCGTATTAGCTACGCAAATTAGCAATCATCTTCTGCTGAACTTTGATCAATTCTGATTGCAAAATATCGTCAATGTACCCTATGGTAAACATACCATAGCTGACGCTATCATTCTAGCGATGCACTAGTGATTGTGGCAAATGAATTTCCAATGCCATCGACGTGGAAACTCATTTCTTGTGGTGCATTTTGTTGAAATAACCAGATTGATGGCAGATAATTGGCATCATCATAGTAAGGGATGTCATCTATGTCGTGCGCACTCCATTATCCTTAGCAGCCGAAGTTCGTGCGGAGTCCACCACCTAGATCATCCACTTGACTAAGTTAATCTTCTCAACCACTCAGTGCCCACCCACATTGCAAGATGTGAGGATAAAATCAACACCTTTCCATTTTTTCCCATATGTTAGTCTATCACCCTTCATGTATCCTTGTAACTCATTTGAAATTTTCATAGCCAACCATTCAGCTTCAATTGGATATGCAGTGTAAAGCATACGAATGGTGTCCTATGAAATATGTGTACATTAGGTTGCACACCATGCAATCCAAAACTTTACTATTTTCATAATTGAAAAATATGCAAATAAACTTACGAAGAATATCATATCAACCACGCATGCATGAGTCTTGTACAACTTGTACTTCAACCCTGTCATTTTGCTTACATAGTACACTAAGGCATGCGTCAAGCTATTCACTTGTCATTACCTCTTTGGGATCCTCCAATGATGTGAAAAAGTCAAGCCCTTGATCCCTGAAGATCCTAATGTTACGTTTACTCATGTAACAAAATGAATTTCAAAAGGCTTGATGGATTAATCTTTCATTCAAAAACGGCATTTGCAATATTTTTTATAAGCTTACCTCGCATGCTTATCTTTCTTGAAAGCTTTATACGTTTCCACCATTGAGTTCTTTAGATCTCGTCGGCTCACCAACGAGTCGACATATGGGCTTGCCATGTATTTGCTGGCCATTTTGACCTATGCCCATTCAATTGGGTTTGAAATGAATGAATCAAGATGATGGACATCAAAAAACTCTTATGACAACACTTGTGATGCTCTGCCTTCAAGAGTGCTAAGGAACATGGTTCCCTTCAACTTGAACTAATACAAGGTACCCATCCTCTCCCACGGTTACCTCGACTACCGCATTAGCTTGAGGAACGTGGTCTCTTTCAACCTCAACTGATGCAAGGTTCCCACCTTCTCTCGTAATTGCCTCGACAATCGCATCAGCCTCAGGAACATGGTCTCCTTTAGCCTCAACTGAATGAAGGTCCTTTCTTCCTACAGTTGAATCAACAACTACATCGGCCTCAGGAACATGGTCTCTTTCGGCATCAACTGATTGAAAGGTTACATCCCCTGCCACAACATCATCGAGAACGTCATCGACATGAGTTACATTGTCTTGATAGCACCAACAACGTCATGGTGAATGTGAACACCAGGTTCATTATGCTACCCATTATCAACATCATCGTAATGCTCACCATCATGGTGAGATGAAACACCGTCTTACAAAATGAGACAAATGGAAAAATTCGTTAACTCATAAAAGACCATAAACCATAAATCAAAAATAAAAAATAAGACTACACTACTAAATATAAACTACTAATATATGAGCGAAGATAGAATAACATACTTCTAATTTCAGGCCATCTAGAATCTAACCAACAATAAGATCCTCAAATATCTGAATTGCGAGAGTCAATGACCAAATTGAAGCCTTCAACTCCAACATATCTTTTTAATGCTTGAGCATGATCCGTTGCAATTAATGTTTGGTGACTACATCATCATTAACTCTCATCGAATGGGTCAACTGTAATAACAAATATTACTGTGTTATTCAATAATCATATATGGAATTGTTGAACATAAACCGTTAGAACTTTAATATCCTTACGGACTGCTCGTTAGCATTATGCAATTGAGCAGGACTGATCGGTGGCTAAAGAGCTATCTTCTCCTCTATCAACTGTAATAACATAAATTACTATGTAATTCGATAAACATATGTAAAAATGTTCAACATAAATCGTTAGAACTGTTATTATCGGTAGCTCATTAACACTATGAGGCTGAGTCAGACCGGTCAATGGTTGAGGAGCTATCGTCACCTCTGTCAACTGTAATAACAAAAATTATTGTGTTATTTGATAAACATATGTGGAAATG